GTCATCAAAAGAACAAATAATCCAATTTAAAAAAAATGGGGTACAGACCTAAACAGAGAACTCTCAACAGAGGAATCTAAAATGGCTGAAAGACACTTAAGAAAATGCTCAACATCCTTAGCCATCAGGGTAACGTAAATCAAAACAACTCAGATTCCATCTTACACCTGCAAGAATGGCCAAGTTCAAAAACCCTAATGACAGCTTATGCTGGAGAGGTTGTGAGATAAAGGGAACACTTCTCCATTGCTGGTGGGAGTGCAAACTTGTACAGTCAGTTTAGAAATCAGTATGGCAACTTCTCAGAAAATTAGGAAATCACCTACCTCAAGATCCAGCAATACCACTTTGGGTATATACCCAAAGGATGTTCAATCGTGCTACAAGGACATGTGTTAACTATGTTCATAGCAGCATTATTTGTCATAGGCAGAACCTGGAAACACCCTAAATGCCCCTCGACTGAAGAATGGATAAAGAAGATGTGGTACATTTACACAATGGCATACTACACAGTGGAAAAAAATAATGACACCTTGAAATTTGTGGGCAAATGGGTGGATCTAGAAAAAACAATATTGAGTGAGGTAACTCAGACATAGAAAGACAAATATAATATGTACTCACTCATAAATGGCTTTTAGACATAAGACAAAGAAATACCAGCATACAATTCACAATCCCAGAGAACCTAGACAGCAAAGAGGATCCTAAGAGAGACATATATGAATCTAATAGACATGGGAAGTAGGAAAAGACAAGATCTCCTGAGAAAACTGGGAGCGTGGGGATTCTGGGAGAGGGTAGAAGGGGAGGGGGAGGAAGGAAGAAAAGTGGAGAAAATATATAGCTCAATAAAAACAACTTTAAAAAGATGATCTAAACCATTTCCTCCACAAGTTGCTTGCGGTCATGATGTTTATCCCAGCAATATAGAAGGAAAACTAGGACAGTAGGCAAGGAGGGACCTCCAGAAACTGGAGAATCCCCTTCGAATCTGCTAACAAATGTCCACAGCAGCAGGGACAGAGACACAGCCCCATGCTGTCAATCACAGCAACCAGAGGAGGTCATTAGTTGTCTCAGGGAAGTCATAGTAGATAAACTGATCCTTAGCTTAGACACAGAAAAGAATTTCAGGACAAACCAGTATGAAGTAGAGTTGGAGTTATGGAAAAGAATAGGGAAAAAAATAAAGTACACCTGAGAGCATGGGTGTGGTCAGAGCAGGGATGTAGTGAGAGCATGGGTGTGGTGAGAGCAGGGGTGTGGGGAGACCATGGGTGTGGTGAGAGCAGGGGTGTGGTGAGTCCATAAGTGTGGTGAGAGCAGGGGTGTGGTGGGAGCTGGGTGTGAGGAGAGCAGAGGTGTGGTGAGAGTGTGGGTGTGGTGACACCATGGGTGTAGGGAGAGTGTGGGTGTGGGGAGACCATGGTGTGGGGAGACCATGGGTGTGGGGAGAGCATGGGTGTGGGAAGAGCATGGGTGTGGTGAGAGCGTGGGTGTGGACTTCTTAAGGGATAGTTGCAGTTTACTAAAAGACATTTTAGCTTAGATGCCAAGCACAATGGCTAAGAGAAAGAGACATCCAGGGAAAGAATAAGTTATTCAAGTAAGGGCAAGAACTATCATCATCATCCATCATCATCATCATTTGAGACGGGGTTTCTTTGTGTAGCCCTGGAACCAGTTCTATAGACCAAGATGGCCTCTAACTCACAGGGATCCACCTGGTGCTGAAATTAAAGGTGTACACCACCACCGTCCAGGGTGTATGGGTTTTTAAAGGAAAGTAATAGTTAAATGTCTTAAAATTAACCGTATACAGCATGTTGGTAGCTCTCAAGCTATTTTTAAAAATGAGAGAAATTCTGCAGAAAGTTTATTCAGGTAAGGTGGGGATGTGAGTATTTGTGAATTTTGAATAAACAAGTGGTCTTTGGAAACAGGGAGATAAATCAAAATAAAGGGACTTCCTCTTTAATATCCTACACAACCATCATGTTCCCACACTGGAATTGATGGCTGTTCAAACTACATTTCATAGGGCTACTCTTTTTGATAAGTGAAGTTATAGGGTGGCTCCAGAAGTATCTTAGGTGGGGTTGTAATCTGATAAGGGTGACTCAGAAGTCACTGGGGTTGCACAACGGGATTAGAAGGTACCCTTTAACTATAAAGGGGACTTCTGACAAGATGTCTGTAAATCTCCAGATCTTTATCTGAAAAGAGAAGAGGGCCTTTACAGAATGTTGCTCATTGTGTTGGAATCCTTGATACTCAGTCTTCAACACAGTCCCTGGGGGAGGGGCCCCTTTCACTGCTTATGTCCCCATAGTGCTCCATCTTCCCACTCTGCCTCATGGTTACTAAGCTGAAATGCACAGAGTGGTACTTGATGAGACTGACCGCAGCGGGATCCCACCAAGCACTGGTGAACTGCAGACTGAATACTTGGGGCTCATACAGGCTGGAAAAGATGGCACAGGGATCAGCCCCCAGCCATAGAGTGGCCATCATCCCACCAAAGCTCAAAACCAAGCCAACCCCCAGAGGACTTATCTATATGCTAGAACAATGGCCAGTGTTCTGAAAAGAAAGACAACAAAATCACAATCAAAATGTAAAAAATTGCCACATACGTGCAGAGACATGAAGAGTATGGGAGAAACCAGTATAGACAACCAAGAGCAAATTTGGAAAGACATCTTTAGAAAAGAATTAGATGGAATTTATACAGTTGAATCTTCAAACTGTAACATAGAAAATTAAAAAACTGAAAGAAATGACACCAGAGACTCAGTGACCTATCGAGGAGCATTAGCCAATTTAGATAGTTTATGTTTGATCTCACTGATGCTTGGACCTGCTGTAGTCTATATCTGCTGGGAATCCCATCCAGGACAAATTTCATTTCGGATATTACATTCCGAGAGGTGAAAACTGCCTAGAAATCCCATTTAGCTATTTTTTTTAAAATCACATTTCTTGCTTCATTGTGTTTACATATATCTTTAAATCCTTAAACATATGTAGTGCAGCTGTTCAAAACTCTGCCTGTGAATTCCGCCTGTGAATTCTGCCGTTCACATTGTTTCCATTTTCTTCTGTCTCTCGAGTCATAATGGGAATAAGAATGGTCATAAAAAACTGCAAGCCAAGGACCCTGGCACCATGTTTGTTAGCGCTGAAAGAAAATAAAAGTCAACCTGGGACAAAGAAACTCCAACAAAGAGAAATACCAGAGAGCTCTGCCCTGCTGCTGAGAACAAAGGTAGCCACTGTGAAAAGATTATCAGGAAGTTTCTTCCAAAGCTAAACCTGCACTGACAATCCAAGAATTTCAATTCTAGACTTGGACTCTGCAAAACATGTGTCCACTTGCCCTTTAATAATGATAGCGGCTGATTCTACACCATCGAGGCAAACATCTGTTGGTAGAGGTGTTCCTGAGACTACTCAGCCCTTTTCCCTTTGAAGTAAAATCAACAAATGTGCTAAACCACCAACATGTCCATCAACAGCATCAGCAGGTAGGCAGGAGAAACGATTGTGCTATATCTGCTGTTAATCACTCCGAAATAACAATAAATTAATGGTGCTTGTTACAGAATGGATGGACCTCACACACATCAGACACAGCAAGCCTACATTATCCGATTTCAATAACATTAAATTCCAGGTAAGACTAATGTGCTCGAGGAAGCAGATGTTTGCTTAGTTGGGGCGGAGGACAAGATGTTGAACAGAGTGAAGGGGCACTTATTACACATAGCAGTTTTGTTTGTAATGATGAATGGTTGGTGTACACTGTCAAAATCCACTGAACTGTGTAGCCAGAATGAGTACAGATTGTTGCATATGAATTATGACTCCAAGTGCCCTGAGACCTCATTTCTAGAGAAAATCCAGCACTAGCAGCCGCCTTCCTGCCTTAATTTTTTTCCTGGCTGACCTAATATGATGCTGTGTTCAGTGGGTGTTTATATGCAAAGACTGTGAACAGATCATTCCATGTTGATTCACGTCTCCGAATTTCCAGAAAAACCCTTCGCTCCTCAAATGTTAACTCTTCCAAGCTCAGACTGATGACTCTGACAATGCTCTGGTCACAACTCTGTCTTATTGCCACATTCCAGAGTTAACTATCACCTCTTTAGTCCACTGTTCGTTAACTACAAGAAGCCAGCAAATCTATCCTGGTCTAGCATTATCATTATACTGTCTCCTCGTCCAGCATTTACGAATTGCGAGCACTTCCTAGATGTCTAACGGAATGGTTGCTTCAAAAGGTGCTGGAAACAGTGGCCTCAGAGGCCCTGCTCTATTTCGTTTCTGTTCTAGTACAAAGAGCCATGAGATGTCATTTCCAGAGAAAATCCTTCATGAGCAGCCTAGCAGCCTTCCTGCCTTAATTTACCCCTGGCAGAACTAAACAACAGACATACGTGTTTTCTAGAGTCTCTCGACTATTCATGCCCTCTGTTCCAGGGCATCCCTAAAAGCGAATTGTTGAGCGTCAAAGAGGCAGGTGTGTCCCCTCCTCAGAAGGTCTTAAAAATGGGCCCTAGTCTCTGAGATGGTTAGATAGGAAAAAAAAGATTGTGACCTTTTAGAGCCCGGTGCCTATATTTCTATCTTTCTCTGTACCCGCCTCCCGTTAGTCTTCCTCTTTTTCTCTCAGTTTCCTTTTCTCTTTTTCTTGGTCCCATGGCACTTTCCCAGCGCTGCTGCTTGGGTTGGCTGTTCTTTCCTCACCGGTAGGACTGATCTCCTTCCTGGGTTCTCATGGAGTATCCCGCCAGGCCCAGCCTTTTCCCCGCTGCTCCTCGCTCGCCTCCTTCTTCTGCTACCCGCCCCACGGAAAGCAGAGTTCCTCACGAAGCCCAGAGGTGGGAGGTGGGTCCTGGCGCCGGGTCCGCCCCTCAGTGCGTGTGCGAATGCCTGTGTGGCGGTGACGCGCAGGCGGCGGTGGAAAGGGGAGGGAGAGGGAGAGAGAGAAAGCGAGAGAGAGGGAAGGAGGCCGCGGACCGCCCGGGCTGCTGGGCTTCTGCGCGCTCACGCACCTCGCCGCCCGCCGAGGCAGGCGCAGGCAGGGCGCAGGCGGCGGCGGGCGGCATGGAGAGCCTGCTGGAGAACCCGGTGCGCGCCGTGCTCTACCTCAAGGAGCTCACGGCCATCGTGCAGAACCAGCAAAGTCTCATCCACACCCAGCGCCAGCGCATCGATGAGCTGGAGCGGCGTCTAGACGAGCTGAGCGCGGAGAACCGTAGCCTGTGGGAACATCAGCAGCTGCTGCAAGCCCAGCCTCCGCCCGGGCTCGTCCCCCCGCCGTCCGCCCCACTGCCTGCTCCTACAACCACCGCTCCGGCCGCCACTGCGGCCCAGGAGCCTCTCCAGGACCACGGACAGCTCACACCCGTCACGCCGGAGCCGCCGCTTCAGCACCACGGACAGCTCCTGACGCAGCCCCAGTCCAGCGGCAGGGCTCAGGCTCCCCAGTCGCCCCACCAGCACCCGGTGGCTGACAAGGAGAAGGAGCGTCCACCGAGTTGTTGCGCTGCCGCCGGAGCCCTGCTTCAGCACACATCCCCCGCCGCCCTCGGCAAGGGCGTCCTGAGCAGGAGACCCGAGTGAGTGGGGAAGAGGAGGTGGGAGAAGCAAGTGGGTGTGAGGAGGGGAAACCAGCATGTAAGAGTGAAGGACTGGGGTAATGTCAAGTAAAGCAGTGAGGACGCCTTGCGTAGAAACGTGTCAAGGAGATCCCCACAAGGAAGGGCTTGAGATCCGCGTTTGAGGGTTTGTGGTGGTTGGAGCAAAAGGAAGTACCTATACATACCATCTTTGGGGCAAAGAATGAGAGACGTGGGCTTAAACTGATTGGGGATATTGGTAACTTCTAGGAATTAAAGGGATAAAATTGAGGAAGATGGGGGTAAAAAATTAAGCCAGGGGTACCACTGGAGGATTTAAGCTAGGAAAATTTTGGAAGGGAGTTTGCATAGTAAAACTGTTTAAATAAAGAGTGAGATGCCAAGAAGGCAAGCTCGATCTGGAGGTTTGTTACGAGCTTCAAAGAGGCTGGGGTCCAGCAACAAGGATTAGAAAGCTGAAAGACAGCAGGGAACAGGGAAAGGTAGCCAGATACAGGAAGATGAAGGGTGGGAGACAGTGCTGCCCAGGGGAAAGAGGTGGTTCTTTATGTGATGCAGTGGGAGTCAAAGCCAGAAGTAGCTCACTTGGGAAAGCTTTCTCCCTTCTGACCCAAGTGAGCATCTTCATTCTGTGTCCCTGCAGTGCCAAAGGGGAACATAGAAACAACCTTCCAGACTTGTGGGTGCCTCTGTTACAGCTTCCGGACTCACCTGGCTGGAGCCTGCCTCTGACTCAGGAGCATAGAGGGGTGCAGGGTGATTGGCAGTCATGGGAAGGGAGCAGTGAGAATGGAGACAGCTGGGCAACAGTTCCATGAAATCAATCCCTCTGTAAATTTCTGTTGTGGCTACTTATGGCAAGACCTCTTTCTCTTTGGTTATTTGGAAACCTCATCTTGGATTCCAGGGGAAGTGTTAATTGTCCCCAGGCAGTCTAAGGCCTGGAAATTTTTCTTCACTCGTGAAGTCCATGGAATAAGAACGTGGGAGGTAAAGATGAAGGGGGCTGGAATGTTTTCTCCTCTGTATTGGGAAAGCTTGACAATCCTGTCAGTGTTACTTCGCTGATTAGATGGGGAGGAAAGAACAGCCCTGTGGCAATTAGTACCTGGTCAACACTGGCCCTGATGATGTGATGCTAAAGGAGAGGGGGGAGGGAGAGGAGAGCTGAGCACCTCACCTCTATTCACATGGGATTTATGTCTGGAAGACACTTGTGAAGATTGGCTGCATTTCTTAAGAGCTCACCTCTTCTCTGCCCCTTACCTCACTGTCTCTCCCATCTCTGTGAAGAAGGTGGGTCAGGCATGCTCGATCACAGGGTAGGTGTGACCAGAGCATAGGATCCCAGGGGTGGAGACCCAGGACAACCCCACTTGATAGACCCAATACATCTAATTCAAACCCCGAGAAAATTCTCCGTGGCCTATTTGTCTTTCAGTTTTATGACTGTCTTTCTTTTCTGGCATGAAAAGCAGCAAGGCAGTTTTTCCTCAACACCCACATCTCCGCTAAGGACAATACTCTTCCAAGATATTCTATAGCCTTTTCTCCCAATAGAGGGAACAATTGCACCTCACTATCCTTGGGGACAGCCATAGCAGCCTGGCATTAGGATTCTCTACCTGAATTCTCTCCTCATAATATCTGGTGTCTTGCTCCTGCTACATTCTCACTTTCTTTGCATCTCGCCGGGAAGCTGTGATTACGCAGGATTGGTGGCAGATCTTGTTCTGGGACAAAGACTTCTCTGTAGCCCCCAAGAGGTCCTAGAGAGCCCATACCTTCCATGCGGATGTTCCTGCTAGGAATCCAGAGGTTGAGGGATCACCTGGATTCCTCTCCAGCCTCACATGCCAATACCATGTGACGTCCTTCTCTCTCCATCTTCCCTGTCCTGCTTCTGCTTCCCATGGGGCAAAAATAAAACCCAACCATCATGATGGAGGGGAGAAGAAGCTTCTGGGCACCTTTTACTTGGAAAGCTGTGTCAGGCACTGAGGGGCTCATTGTACCATTCGCTTCTCACTTTCTCCGGTGTCTCCAGCCTTTCCCTTTCTCCCCAGGCCTAGATACCCAGAAACTTCGAGTGAAAACATACTTACCTCTCAACTTTCTTCTCTTTTTTGAAAAATAACTTGTACCTTGGATGCCCTGGGATCCCATTTTTTTTCTCCCAGGTTTTAGCCTGACTTAACCGACATTTCCCCATAGAACTCGGGAGTGAGTGACTGTTGCTCCCTGGGTGTTTAGCCCACTCTACCCTCTATCAGTGGACCTATTCTGAATGTGCATCCTGTATTTCATAGGGCAGGACGAGAGAGAGAGAGAGAGAGAGAGAGAGAGAGAGAGAGAGAGAGAGAGAAATCCATGTAAAAGGGAAGGGAAGGGGAACCAGCAGTTGTGCCCCTGGGCCCTACCTGGTCTTTCCCCCATGCTTCTGCTAAGTCAGTTCTCTACCATGCGGAGGAGGAAGGGATGCAAGAGAGGGCTTCAGAACATAATTTTGCTGCAAAGCTTTACTTTTTCCTCTCTGTCCTTATTACAGAAGAACGTGGCTCTAGGTAGGTGGCTACAGATGGACAAATGGTTCAAATGGCCAGTCATTGTTAGGTCCCTTCTACAACATGCACATGCGCGTGCATACACACACATGCACACTACACCAGCCATATAGTCCCTCAACTTCTCTCCTCGCCAACCCTAGGAGAATAAGGAGCTCAGGACCTGGGAAATGATGGATCATTTAGTGGCCATCTGATGAAGATGAGTGTGCAGCCTGCCTCTCTCCCTCCTTCAGCTGGGGTTCACACAAAGGGGCCGGCCTTGGGATCCAGGCTAAGAAAGCAGCAGTGCGGAGGCGGAGGCAGAGGCGGGTGAGCACAGCCATGTTACAGAAACCCTAGGGGTTAACATCCTTTCTCTGCCCGCTTCCCGCTCCCGCTAAGCAGGAGCCCCTACTGTTTATGCTGCTTAATGAAAGCAGCAAACACAGCTCCTTCCTCTTTGTTTTTTTCAATCAAGGCTCCCAGTAGCTACGGAATTGATTATTATCTTTTTCCTGGCTGGAGCCAGGCCTTAACCTGACCTGGAAAAGACCCCTTGGAAGGACGTACATGACCCTAAGAGGACTTGGGGGCTGCAGCTTCTGTTATAGCACACTAGCCCACCTACTCAGTCACTTGTTTTGTTGGGAATCCCTGAGCTTGCCTGCATCTCCAGTCCCAGAGGCAGGCGATTACTGACTTCAAGATAAGATTTGGGCATTGTGTTTCAAATTCAGCTTTCACTCCAAGATTCCCAACTCAGGGTAAAAGTACAGGAACCTTAGTATTCATTATGGCTTTGTCTCTTCCTCCCTCACCTTCCTGGAGCAACCTTGTCCTTCATTACTTTCCTCCTTTCGTCTTCACCACCCCCCTCTTTTTTCCTCTGTTCCCCATTTCCTTCTCTGGATGAAGAGTGAACCCATGGCTTTGTACATGCGAGCATGCTAGGTGTATGTTCTAGCGCTGAGCTTCATTCGCCAGCAGTACATGAAACAAGTCTTGAGTTATCTCCAGACCGTAGATGTGGGGATGGCTAAATGACTTATACGTCTTTCAACCAGAGTTGTCTAGGATGCTGACCGAAGCAGAAATCTCTACTGTTGAGTGAGGGTGGTCTGCCTGAAGGTGGCAGTGTCTGGTTAGCTCACCCTGGAAGCTAGCCAACATGAAGCTATCCATCAGTGAGCTAAGTGTATCAGATGTTTGGTCTGTTGAAAAGCCTGAATTCTGTGCTGTGGAGAGACGGAAAGGAAGGAAGTGGTCCTTACATGACATATGCCAAAACACATCTAGAAACATTTAAGCAGGTGTGAGCATACTGCAGCTGCCTAGAGCCACCCTTTCTTCAAACACTAAAGTAAAAGAAATGGGCATACAGAGATTTGCAACCAGGCAGAAGAGTTTCTTGGCTAGAGGTGAGAATTCGTGTCAGAAAACAGCAAGAGCCAAGGACAGCCAGAAAGAAAATTGTCTAGCAGTTTCAGTCCTGGGAGACATCTGTGTCGCATGCAGATATTCCTTCCTCTGACTGGACACACCTGCCTGAGCCATGTCCATGGGTATGGATAGTCTCAGCATGGCTTGTGTCTAGAATTCCTGGCTACCCACACTCACTCATCTGTCTATCCACATCCACAAAAAATCAGAAAGTGGGGTCAGAGGAAGGGTCACTCGAGGAGGGAGTAAATCCTTTTGCTCATTCCCGGAATCTGACACACAGCAGATCTTTATAAAGATTTGCTGCCCAGACCTTTGCAAAAGCCCAAACTTATTCTCTTCCTGCCGGGGGAGAAAAACAAAAACAAACAAACAAAAAACAGTTGTAGACACTCAAGCCATTCTTTAGCCTCTGGCGACACATCCCCCAAGCCCCATGCATCAGGCGACACACACCCCCCTCGGGCCCCCATGCATCAGGTGACACACCCCCATGTCCCCATGCATCAGGCGACACACCCCCATGTCCCCATACATCAGGAGACACGCCCCCATATCCCCATGCATCAGGAGACACGCCCCCCCATTCCATAGCCTCTGGCGACACACCCCCCATGCCCCCATGCACGCATCTCCCTCTCCTCACTCTCAGCCCTTCGCTTATCACACAGGTAACATCACACAGCCCCACAGAAGCATCCTGACACAGGTTCCTCTTGGTCCCAGCCTAAGCGAGAAGCATGGCACTTGGTAATGCTCACTCAGCAAGTATCTGCTGCCTGCACCCCAAAGGTCACTTCCTGGAGTGGAAAGGTAAGGGGTGTGGCTTGGAAAAGAAGAGTAAGCAAGGACCCATAGCTGGGGCCAAGTTCTAAACGGAGATCCAATTCTTGAATTTAAAGCCCACATAGAGATTTTTTACACTAACTTCCCTTACTGGGCAGGCAGAACCTTTTTTTTTTCTCCCACAGCAGTCTGGACATCAACTCCATG